ATGCACCTAATGACAGGGATCCATTGTTTGATGAAGTGTGCTATGTTAAAAACTGTGACAGGAAAAATGGTAGATGCGTTCAAATTACTACAAGGAAATGATTAAGATTCAGTGTTTCATTCGTCTTATTTGTATAGTTTCTAGGGACGCATGCATTATCAAAATTTGAAGGGATACTTGAAAACCCCACTCGCTTTCGGATAATTTTTGAAGGATTGTTTTATTCGTCAAATAATACTTCCCCTTTCCATCGAAGGGGATGAGAAAAAAGCCATTTTATGTTAGTTTTGAGGTGATTGATAAATCTCAGGTAAGTCGATAGAATGTGGTATTACTTATCCTACTCATCCTTATTGACATAATTTCCAATGTAAGTTAGGATATTTTTGTTTCCCACTCAATGAAGAGAATTTCAACCAGTAAATACAAAGGAATGATGATGTCCTTACGTTTGGTTCCCGTTTTAAGACAGCAGTCCGTTCAGGTTTGATTTCCCTTGGAAAAATGGACATGCCGATGCGCCATTAACTGCTCGGCCGGCTGGCATTATGGAATGGCGTTTCTTGTTCTTTTTCTTTCGTTTTTCCGAATCGTTTTATCTTCTTTCTTCTTTCATTCCTTTACAGCGTCTACTTAAATAATTTGAATACTTGCCCTGTTTATTTGTAAGCAATTGCAAACTCGCCTCGTTGTTGTAATTGGTCAAAACCGATCACGTGAGACAATCGTGTCCATGGGTGAACTATTTTAGTTAAGACATTCAGAGACCGTTTAAGTGAAGTAGCTAATGAATCGCAGCTTCTTTCTACAACTTTGTAGATGAATAAATAAAGGATTTGACCTTCCATGTGAATTTCAGCTAGAATATTGCGTGAAGAAGTACTTCGCAAGATGTTCTCTTCTTCATCTCAATATATCGACTATTTCATCACTTTTACTGCCTGACATCATGACAAAAATGTGGCCTCTTTTTAGTCGGTACAGGGTTCTCCATGGGAGGCGCGGTGGCTTCATGGTTAGTGCTCTCGTTTCCGGATCGAACGGTCCGGTTTCGACCCCTGGGCGGGGACATTGTGTTGTGTTCTTGGGCAAGACACTTTACTCTCACAGTGCCTCT